TTTTCTGTGGAGCTGCCGGGGTATGTTTGAACTGCCAACCTTTGGGTGAGCAGCCAAGCGCTTAACCACTGCACCGCCAGGGCTCCTGAACAAGTATCCAGCATTCTGCATAAGTGAAAGACCACACTGAAGCGTGCTGTTGTGGAATTTCAAAATTGAGGATAAAGAAAAGATCTCAAGCTTCGAGAGAGAAAAACTGGTCCCATTGAAAGGACTGGAACCAGAACCTCAGAATGCTCAGTGGCAGCACTGGAAGCTGGAAGGCAGGAGCAGTGCTTTCAGAATTCTGGGGAAGATGATCTCCAGCCTGGAATTGTATACCCAGCCAAATTACCAGTCACGTGTGAGATAGGAGTAGACGTGTGCAGTCAGATGGTGAAACCTGTGGAAAATGTTTAAGTTTTCCCTCTCTGACAGGTTTCCACCTTAAAGAGGTTCCGGCTTTCACAGGTTTTACTGTATTTTCCACTAAATAATGGTAGAAATGTGGTAAGCTGCGCCTTCTCAAAGGTGGAAAACTTTTGAGACCAGGAAAACAAGGCAGTCCCATCGAGTTCGGCTCCTACGGGTTTTACTGTATTTGAGCTTTCCTTCTCTGACAGGTTTTTGGCTGACTTAGTCATCTAGTGCCGCTGTAACAGAAATACCACAAGTGGATGGTTTTAACAAAGAGAAATTTATTGTCTCATAGTCTAGGAGAAGAGAAGTCCAAATTCAAGGCGCCGGCTCTAGGGGAAGCCTTTCTCTCTCTCTTGGCTCTGGGGGAAGGTCCTTGTCATCAATCTTCCCCTGGTCTAGGAACTTCTCAGGCACAGCCACCCAGGGTCCAAAGGACACGCAGTGCTCCTGGCACTGCTTTCTTGATGCCATAAGGTCCGTCTGTCTCTCTGCTTGCTTCTCTCTCTGATATCTCAAAAGAGATTGATTTAAGACAACCTGATTTTATAGATTGAGTCCGGGCTCGTTAACATAACTGCCTCTAATTCTGCCTCATTAACATCATAGAGGTAGGATTTACAACAAATAGGAAAATCGCATCAGATCACAAAATGTAGACAGTCACACAATACTAGGAATCATGGCATAGCCAAGTTGACACATTTCAGGGGGACACAATTCAATCCATAACACTGCCTTAAAGAGGTTCTGGCTTTCGCAGGTTTTACTGTACAAGGTCTCAAACAGTTCTTCCTCACACGCAGGAAGCAGCTAGAGGAGGGACTCCGAAGAAGCACAGAAGGACACCAGCAGTGAGGGGACACGGTGCATCCAACCCAGAGGAAGGCAGAGGGGCATCCCAGCAAGACAGCTGTATAGATGCGCCAGGGGCAGTTCCCAGACAGGAGAGAGAGAGAGGGCTTTTTCAGAGTTAGGGAAAGAATAAGTAGCCTTGGTGGTGTAGTGCTTAAGCGCTTGGCCACTAACCTAATGGTCGGCAGTTCGAATCTACCAGCCACTCCCTGGAAACCCTATGGGGCAGTTCTACTCTGTTCTATAGGGTTTCTATTGATTGGAATCAACTTGACGGCAGTGGGTTTGGTTTTTTGGTTTTGGTGGCAGCGCCAATGGTTAGTGCTTGAATACTAGCCAAAAGGTTGGCGGTTCAAACCCACCCAGAGGCTCCTCGGAAAACAGGCCTGGTGATCTGCTTCCGAAAGGTCACACACAGCCTTGTAAACTCTAGGGAGCAGTTCTACTCTGCACACGTGGGGTCATCGTGCGTCAGAATCGACTGGACAGCAGCTAACTACAACAACAGGGAGAGAATTAATAGCTGCATAGAAAACTGAGCAAGCAAACAAAGGCAATTATGTATTCTAGAAAAAAACAAAATTTCGTGCAAGAAGGGAAGTGTAATCACCACATGGTGTTCCTTACGTGAAACACTGAATTAAACTCCAAATTCGACCACACCTTGTCCCGGGCTGCGTTGGGAGGATCAGAACGGGGAGCTTGTGTGGAAGGGAACTTGGCTGAATCCTCATCGTCCTTAGTGGAAATCAGTAGACCATCTGAAATGTACACATCGTGAAGTAACGATCTGAGCACAAGCTGTTTAGAAATTTGAGGGTGGACATCGGAAGAACCAGTGAGGGTTTGCTCCCGGGGAGTGAGCTGGCAGTGAGGAGGGGACCTGCGGTTTTCTGCTGCGCGGCTGACAGCAGTCTCTCTGTGACTTTTTAAGCTAGGCACCCGGGTG